CGACCCACCGCCGAAGTACGAAGTAACGTCTCCTCGTGATCCTCGTCCAATCGTTAAAACCGAGCCGTTAGAGAGAGAGTCGGATCTCCGAAGACCCCCGATCACGAGGCACAAAGTGATCACGACGGGTTCGGGACATCGAGCGGAGCAAATCGTGCCGCGTACATCCGTGTGTTAATTTAACCGCTGCGATTATGTTATCTCAACATTTCGTGCGGTGTCGATATTCAGTGCTAATTAACGTATTGATTTTGTGTTAATTTTTGACATAATATTTCTATTATCAGGGCTGCCCATAAGTAATGTCGCTTTTTTTATTGTTTTATATTTATACACAATTTTATTTTATTTAACATTTAATTCTTTCAAAATTTCACAGCAAGGACACTGAATGTCAATAAATTTAATTAGTATACAGGTTATGTAATAATAAATTACGCCCACGAACAAGGTAGCGCTGACTTTTACTCAGTCTGAAAAAACGACATTACTTATGGATATCCCTAATACTTTTCAACATATTCACTTTATTAAATTAAATTAATTTATTTTGTTAAATTAACACGAAAATTTGTGCGGATCGTTCGGGACATGCGGAATTTGTTAAATTTAACAAAATTTTTTACCGTGTAGTGATATATGCAAAAAGCGTGTGTGTTGTTAATATATAAAATGCTATTGTCATTTACATGTGGACTTTTAACATAAACGATATATAAAAGTAAGACTTGAGAAAAGTAAGTAGTTCCAGAAGAGTTCACACATTACTTATAGTCCACATAGATGACACGCTACATTAATTACATATTGCATTACCTTTTATTACATTTACTACATAGACTATATACTACATATGCTATTTATTACATAGACAGATTTACTACATAGATATTATACATAGATATATATTACATATTAATTTACAGTAGATATAAACTATTATATTTTACATGTAGACGTACAACCGAGCGGCATGCCTCGGCCAGTCATAGAAGCTCGCGGAATTTACTCTCGCGACCCGATCCCGCTCGCGCTCTCGCGAAATCCTCAGCTTCCAGGTCAGATGACTATTGGATTCTCTTTTTTGGGGGCACCGAGAGCTCCATCGCGAGTCGTGGGACTGGTCTTCGCGAAGAGAGAGAGAGAGAGAGAGAAAAACGGTACACGCGGATTGGAAGGTACTAGACGTACTAGACGTCGTCGTGTGTTTCTCATCCTTGCGGTATGACGGCAGAGATGCTATTATCATCCACCGGGATGAGGGTCATGAGGCTAGGCCGACCTTTCTTACCTTCTCATCTTCTACTTCTTCGTTTTTTACTTCTTCCTCTTCTTCTCTTCACTATTCCTCCTTTCACCTTCTTCCCCGCTCGCCTCCGCGTTCCTCCGCCGCTCCATCGACCACTGGAAGCGACGTACGTTGGGAATAGTTAAAAAGTTTCGCTCTCAATCTCACGGTCCGTTCTCTGGCGGTCGTGGCGGATGCTGAAGAACGGACGAGGAGGCGCCGAAGAGAACACGCGGACGCGAACGGACGGGCGGGCGGTAGAGGACGCGAGCAGCGATCGAGCGTGGAAACTCTGGAACGCAAACACGACGATTGTATTACATCGTACGTTCTATTTCAACGAGCCCATCAGGCATGCATACGAAACTCTTTTTTAACGTTATACAGCGCACGTTCCTCTTTTTGACCGTTCACCTTCGTTCGCTGCGAAATCTCGCCGAGGTCAAAGGCGCAAATGTCGACGATGGATCGGAAACGAGAGGGAAAGATAAATAGATAGATACATAAATATATTTATTCTGAGAGAGGGAGAGAGAGAATTATGAATAATCATAACTAGTTGTCAGCCAATGATACAATTTCGCTCATTTTCGCTTTTTGAAAATTTTTCTGGAATAACGTGTTCCTTCAACTTTGATTTGCTACCTCATCTTTTAATGTTAGTGGCGAGTATGTAGCAGCTAAACATGTATTTTAAATTAGACTGCGCCGTCTGCTCTGTCATATTTGATGAACAACAGCTAGGCCGTAAAACCGATTCTATATTTTAATGAATAATCAGCTGATAACGTATTAGTAATTAGAGGAAAATTTAATCTTATCTATACGAGCTAGTTATTAGTTTTTGACTCAAGCCGATTAGATACGTTCCTAGTCGGGCAGAGGTTTAATCAAACTCATTTTTCAGTGTGACAGATTAATAATCAGCTGATAACGTATTAGTAGTTAGAGGAAAATTTAATCCTGTTTATGCTAACTAGCTATCTGTTTTTGATTCAAGCCGATTAGATACGTTTCTAGTCGGGCGGAGGTCTAACCAAACTCATTTCTCAGTGTAACAAATTAATTCGCGCAAGAAGTGTTTGAATATGTTACGAATCATATACCCATAAGCAGTATTACACAGATAATAATAAATTCGAATTCTGGGGCAGATTGAATTTCATAGTGGAAGCAGAGCCGCCTCATTGGTTAGTCGACGTCGTCCGGCGGTCAATTTGCATACCGAAAATCCAGAATTCATTGCAGGAGCATATTCAAATAGGAATGCAGTCGACACATTCTATCTCATGAAATATTAAGTTCACACGATTAATATTCCTAGTTTACTGCTGTCGCATTCATCCCGTTGCGTTTCGAGCTTTGAATAACTTATCGCATACTCTCACATGCGCGCGCACTGAGCAGCTGCCACTCATCTCCAGGACTCTTGAGAACATTTCTTTGTGGACGTTCACATAGTCTAGAAACTGCAAAATCCGGCCAATTAGATATCCGAAGGACAATTATTCATTCAATAAGTCCAAATCCGGGAATTCGATCTTTCCAAATTATCAATTCAAGTTTTCGTAGTAGGTCGTTTGGATCTGTGCATATATGTATACGCAGACATCTGTTATTTGAAAAAATAATTATAATAATATATCGTTAATAATTGCGTTATACATTCTCTCATACACGTTATTGCGTAATAATTTTAATATAAAGGGATGTCGAGGACAATGTCGAGTCAGTCGTTTGTAATTTCCGAGCGAGAAAGGCGAAAGGATTTCACAGAATAAATGTTCACGGAGAACAACCGATGAATAATTATTTAATATCAATTATTAATTCGTTATTTCACAAGATCCTTGCTTGCTAGAACACGGATTAAGAATACTTTTCAACACTATACAAGAGGGCATTGTATGATACTGTTAGCTTTTATCACTCGTTTTTACTTCATTTTATACTATTTATATCTTTCGCTTGACGTTGCACAATTTATTTAATTTGGTCAAGTCTCAAGTAATGTAATTTGTTATGAATAAATTTTTTCAATCACTCAACTTCATATTTTCAACATTATCATTTTCCAATTTTACTTCATTTTGATTTCCTTTAATTTTTTTCGTTTCACATCGCCCACCTTTTTACATATTAAATCGAAAATCCTATACATTTTTCATTTAATCTATAATATTCTTTTTATGATAATTATATTCTCGACGCTCGCTGCTAGCGGGTGACGGTGTCGGAGGAGTCACTCAGACGACGCGGTCCGTCGCGATCAGCGTTCAGTATTTATATTACACGCTGGGCGGAAAGAAGCGCTCAGGTATTGAATTAAAATGTATCGCGAGCCGCCGTCGTCTCGAGTGTCGTGTCGGGCGACATTTGGCGCGGGATTGCGTGCGAGAATTTGTTAATTCCCGCCGGTTGGCAAGAATTTGCTAATTGGAGCGACGCAGCTTGCTTGCCGGGGGCGGAATTAGATCGCGGGGGGTTTCGCCACAGGTCTCGTCGGTTCCTTCGGGAGTGGAGTAAAGGTATCGTCCTTTATTACTGCTGCTGTGCAACATCTGGCGTCACTTATTGTGCTTCCGGCTCGTCCGGCGTTACTGCGACCGAGTGCGGAATTTAAATGCTGAAAGTGTCGGATCGCGAATTAAACTCTCGTCCGTTTTTGTTATTTCGCCGCGGCAAATCGCAACTGTATATCATACGCGTCGATAAATCCATCCCGGAGAATGCCTACGCCCTTCGGTGTCAAAACAACCGATAAATCGAGATCAAATCTGCATCACTCGTTCGGCCGGAAGTCGAGAAAGTCGGGAAAATTCGACGAGGAACGTCGACGGCGATAATGACGGGTTCCGTCGAGAATTTGTAACATCTGTATATATATAAAATAATTTGATAACATAAATAAGTAATAGCCATCCTGTGTCTTTCGTTGCAAAGTGATACGTTTGAAATTAAAGGACATGTTTGGAATAAAGTAAAATGTATACGTAATTAATGAAATCAAATCGTTTACAAGAATGGGAATTAACAGCAAATGTATCTCCTATAATAACTTCTAATAATGTAGATGATGTTTATAGTAAAGCGTATCGTAAAGCGTAAATATCGTAATATCAATAATATGTAAAAAAGTGGTAAGAAAATGAGATTTGTAATTCAGTATCATTACATTCCGCAAAATGTTAATTTTCTTTTATGTATAGAATAATCTTTCTATTTTTTATATTTAGTTATTATCTGAAAATTTAATTTTATAGTTCTGAATAATACATAAGAATAATGTAAATATGTATAATAATATAAATATAATAATGTAAAAATAAATTTGTGCCTGTAGGTAGTGATATTAGACGTACAACTATATTGTATTAAAAATACATTTCTCTGTGATGTAACAGATGAGAAAAAACCAGAAATTGTTTACTAAAATAAAAGGATAATTAAATCGATGTCTCTTTTTGGTTAAGATACTTTAGAAATTAATACCGTGCTAAACAATTAACAATTAAACATAAAAATTAAGAATTGAATATAAACCAGTTAGAAACTGATCGTAAAATTATCTGGAAACTGGAAACTCATCTGAGAGGAATCTAAGTAACAATATTCTGCGGCTATATTCCGGCTTATATTCTACTCTGGTAATAATTAATCGTCGTGTCTCATTAATACTGTCATATAATGTTTTCTGTTTCTTTGTTTACAGGTCAGAGAGCGAATCGACGCCCCACGGAGATGCGTATTTGCCCGTCGTACGTGACCGCGAGGTAAGCGAGAAGCTTTAGATCTAAGATTCGAATCAAGCAAACGCTGTTTTCTCAATTATTACAAATATCTTCCCCGAGTTCGTGAGAAACGCGTTAAATCACGAGCGAGGTTCACCCACCTCCCACCCTCCTCCTCCTCTTCAACCTCCAGTCAATGAATATTTTTGCGGAAGTCGCGCCTCAACGAGTAATCTCCGCCTTAATAATGAGTAATCAGCCGGACCGTCGGGACAGATCGGTGGTGTTATTAGAACGGAATGCGACGTATCGATCTCCGAATGCGCGCTCGAATCCGTGCGTTTCCGTTCGGTCCGCGAATTCTCGCGGCGTGCCTTCGACATGTGGAGCGTGAAGATGCCAGCGGCATCACGCAAGCACGCAGCGATTGAAATTAGCCGATCGTCGTCGACCGAAGGGCGACTGGGCGTTTTGGGGAGATATTCGCGCGTATTCCTTTCGCGGAATTGCGATGTCGTCGAGTTCCCTCTCTTTCTCTGCCTTGCACTTGTTAATCGCGCACCTGTGTATAATTGCATCCGTTGAATTAGATGTGCGGCCGGGACGATAGTTCGGAACGAATCTGCCGTTGAAATGCTGTTTGATCGTTCATTTATTTATCATTTAGTGAAAATAATTCATTATTCAGCCAGCCATTTATTTATTCATTCGTTTATTTATCATCAAGATCAGATATAACGTCGATTTCCGCGCTAATATCCGCATGCAGGTCGTCACGTCTGATATGAACATTTCGATTGTAGATAAATTTATAATTTCATTTAATACGCATTATTCAATACATCGGACAATTTCACAGCGATAAATCCGATCCCTTGGGTAATAGCATCTTTTGAAATTTGTAGGCTACGTTGCGCACCGGGCCGTTTTATCGAGCTAATATGTTTTCGAGAATAAACTTTTATACGCTTGAAAATAAATATTAACTGTGTGTGTGTGCAAGTTAATAGCTACGGGATACCGGCGTATGGTTACGGCAAAGGGAGGCAAAGGGGAATATTGGTATCGATATTCGAAACGCGGAAATATCGGTAAATACGCGGATTATGGGTATTGGTAAACCCGCAACATCGCTGTAATTGCAACTAGTCGAATTGTCACAGGCCTCTTCCCGCGAATATATCTAGTATTTTTGTACTTTCCTTTCGTTTTATTCTCTTCTACTTTACCGTCGGTTTCGTGGCGACGCGCAACTTTAATCTGCGATACTTTAGGCTGCGTCCCGAAATTCACTGCCAATATTAAAAAAACTATAATTTGTGCCGCATATACTATAGATTTTCGGTACTAGCAGTGCATATCGGAACGCAAAGCTTTAATTAGTGCAAGGTTGAACATCGTGAATCGATCTTATACGTCCGCCTTACATAGATATTCGACGCATTCTGCGATTTGCAGGAATACTTTCTTTGAACGTCTCGAGAAAAACTGTACCTAAATCAAAAGCTAGCAGTTAGCTAGCACAAGAATAGATTAAATTTTCTAGCTCGTAACTAGTTCGTCATTGACTGATTATCCAATAAATATAGAATCGGTTTTGTGATTTCTAGATACACATCAAATAGCATAGATTCTATATTCTAGAATATAATAAATAAATAAATAGATTCTATATTTAAAACAATGTAAATATAAAATATATATAATTTAGCTGTTATGTACCCGTCACACTAATTAATTTAAAAATGGGGTAGCAAATCAAAATTGAGAGAACGTTATTCCATAAAAATCTCAAGATAATTGTAGCACGAAATGAACTCGTGTTCATGTCCACCTCAGTTTCGTTTCAAATTAACATTTATTATTTAGGTAGCGTGATAAATGTACAGGAAATGTAATTTTGCTCGATGAATAAATATTAAATTTACGAATGACTCTTTTGATGTACCACTGAAAATACAGTACTTAGCGAAAATACAGTACAGATATCTTCAAAGAGCAAAAGTGAGCTTGCATTACTGCTTGGCAACTGGTTACGATATTTTATCTCGTAACGAGTTCAACTTATTTACTTAATTATTATATGATTGTTAGATATTTTTTTATATTTTTTTTTTAGCCATTGAAAGAAGTGAATGTTACATCATTGGCTAGTAGCGACATTAGGCACAAATTTACCACCCACGAGGTTTAACTTCTATACTGAGAAAAAAATGTCTTCAAATTTAATCAATTTCATCGCATCCAAACAAACTTCATCATCGACATGCCCCGAAGAAACTAATGTTTCGATTAATAAATACGACTGTTAGACTCTTTAACGAATACGTATCTTTATCTTAAATAAAAAATTCGTTTGAAACAAATAATATTTCGTTTGATTAAAAGATACTATTTCAAATAATAGCGTTCTTTCCGTTAAATAATAGGGTTTTCTCGAATGAGACAATAAAATTTCTACTCGGACAAATAATATTTCGTACAAGTATATGTTGTTTCTGTGAAAACAAATTTTAGTCGAATAAATAGAAACACTAAATCTAAAGGAATCTTTTTCTCTGAGAGCTACACGATTTTTCCGACGGCGAGTGTTTCGCGCGCGTCACGTCGCGCTGACGAGAAACGCCTCGAAACCGTCCAATTAATGCGATGCGCCATTAGCGCGTATCTCGTGATAATAATAACATTACCTCGTCCGCTCGGCCCTTGACGTGGTCGCGCGAGCGCGCACAACTGCGCGCCCTCTGAATTGTTTCGCGTTCAATTAAACGGATGTCGCGCGCGGGTTTTCGAACTTCCGGCGGACAGGAGGGGCGGGAGGGAAGGAAGCTTTGCGCGGAAGTTCAAATAAAGTAATTATAAAATGGACTCCGCGCACCGCGCGGCGTATGTGAATGTTGTTATCGCTCTCGGCTACGATAACATGCATCGTGCGCTTGACGCTTTTCAATCTTCACCGCGCATTCTAATTGATTCAAAGTGATTATAACTATTGTTTAGTGATTATAAAGCTGAAGTGATTACAACGCTCATTGCAATATTCAATACCGGCTTCCCGGTGGACGGGGGGAGGGGAGGGTTAATGGTGACGGTAGTGGTAGTACACTGAGAAAAAGATTTTTTCTAATTTAATAAATTTTGTCGCATCTACAAACATATTTCATTATCGGCATGCTCCAAAAAAAAAAACTAACGTTTCGACTAATAAGTACGATTGTTAGACTTTTCAACGAAAATATGTATCTTTGCCCTAAATTAAAAAATTTGAAACGAAAGATAATTTTCTTATAAAGAAATTACTTGCTTCATTTTACATATTTATTGTAACCAAATCATATTTTACTTGGTTAAAAGACACTATTCCGAATAATAGTGTTCGTTCTGTTAAATAATAGAGTTTCCACTTGAATGAGACAATAAAATTTTTACTCAAACAAATAATATCTCGTACAAGTGTATGTTGTTTCTATGAAACAAATTTTAGTCAAGTAAATAGAAATACTGAATCTGAAGAAACCTTTCTCTCTGTACAATAGTAGTAGTAGGTCGTTCTCCGCTACGCGATCCTCGACGTAGCCGAATCAATTGGCCGACTGTTTTTCCTCTTCTTTCTCTCTCTTTTTTTTTTCGCAATTTTTCGCTTTGTCCTTTGTTTTATTCTATTTGTCGTTTGCTTCACGAAAGTGTCCACTTGAACCTTGCTCGGGTAAATTTGTATCGCACAAATAAACGGCGCTCTTTTTCTCCCTGCTGCCGCCCTCCTCCTCCCCCCCCCCGTCCGCGCCCCTTCCCCCTGGTAAACAGCAGATACAAATCAATCTGTCGGGAAGTCGAATGCGACGCGTATAAAAATATTCCGCGTTCGCGCACACCGCTGCATCTCCGTATTTGCGCGCGGGCGCGCGTCAATATTTGATTAACTCTTGCTACAACCTTGTATTAACCATCGGGTCGTGCGATTCATCACGCTGACGGACGCGGCCCGCGAACATAATACGTTATTACGTCGCTGCTGAAACGCGCACGCCGTTTCGCTGACATCCGTCGGCGACGCTGCAAAAAAGTCGCACGCCCGCAGCGAGAGGCGCGACGAGCGAGCACGTGAAACACCGCGGAACGTCTCGTAAAGGGGAATATTCAATCCGGTGCGGACGTTTTTCGGAGCAAACGAGAGTTGGCTCGCGCGATTTGTAAATTCGCGGCGTCTCTCTCGCGGCGCGCGTTTGTCTCCATCGGCGACCACCGCCGGAGCCGAAAGCCGCCGGCGGTAATGAAGCATCTGGCGTATAATCAACGTGAAATCTACACCGCATTAAAGCGAGACACCGCGGCAAAAGTTCCCGGCGACTTCGTGCCTGTGAGCGACAGAATGGAAGTATGTGCTGTGGCGGCGCGACCGGGGGATAAGGCCAGGAACACACGGCGCGAGGCAGAGGTAGATTTATCGTAAAATAGAACGTGTCTGTGAATGTGTGTGCGCGCGTGTGTGTGCCCATTGGAAGAGAGATAAGCGTATATATTTTCGTTTTGTTTTTCGTTTCTGAATTTACGGGAAGCATCGCGCGATTTTATTCGCGCCTTCCCCCTCCCCGCGCGGCGAGAGTGATCGTCGCTAAAAGCTGCCTCGTGTACGGAATACGAATTTCCGCACAGCATTAATTTGTAACGCGAGCATTCTTTCAAGGAGATTGTAAAGCTCGGTGTCGCATTTTCAATGGCGCGTCAAGGGGGAACCGCTCGTGAATTTAGTATTTATCAAGCCAAAGTTACGCTCCTGCATACATTTTGTTTCCACTGTCTAAATATTAAATGTTAATTTGAGATACTAAGTTGAGGTAAATGCGTGTGTGTGTGTGGGTGTGTGTGTGTGTGTGTGTGTGTAGAATATTACAAATATCAATATATTATTATTTTTTATTTTTCTTATTAATGCTATATTTATGCATGAGCTAATAGAGATGCATAGTTAACACTTTCGTGACAATTTTTTCACCTTTTTAAAACTGGAAGCCGTGTGCAACAAATCCTAAGCTGGCTGCCGC